GTTTACCGTATGTTTCATGAGCATTTCTCATCTGAATATTTGTGTATAGGTCCCAGTACATGGTTACTGACTTTCCCAAGGCAGTCGAGATCACCAGGTAGGTTGTTTGACTTGTGTCCCTCTTTGAAGGCCTTTGAAACGAGATTGTTATTCCTCAATGCGGATAGTGACTTCAAGCCCTCTGCGCATGGACACGGGCACACGCCGTATGTTGCTCCACTGGCAACGGATCTGTCACATCTGTTCTTATTTTCTTTACCAGTTACAGTGAGCAACAACTCACTCCACCATTTGGCACCAAGGGCTTCGTCAAGTACTAAATGTTTTCTGTTTGTTTGCATTGTCAAATGTTGAACAATCTACAGTCAAGTTTACAGGGTCAACGGCGCAAACTGGACTCTGAATGTGTATGCCTACCGTCACATCAACTCAAACAATGTTACTTTGGTAGTGTTACATTCAGGCTCCACCTCCGTATTCCAGACGCTCTTCACGCTGTGGACTACTCCAGCATCAGTATACCAGTTCCACCGTCCATTGACATCGGATTCCGACATAAGCGATATCACCCATGTTTGTATGTTTTGCATCATTCACGAATTACGATGAAACATATTTACCTGGGTATCTTCAGACCACATTGAATACAAGGACAACATCAACATGCTGGGACCTGATGGGAAGAATCCAATTGTCTTCCAGACGATATATAAAGATAACTTTACTGCACAAGGCATTGAAGCATTCTTGATGAACCCGATTACTTGAAGTTTTATCAAGTAAGTTCAGTGGGTCATCGTTGTTTTCATTACCATGCTGATACCTCAAAGTACCGCGGCCCAATTTATGGGTTATCTGTCTTCAATGCTTCATTTGAACCTGGCACTTCCATCTTCATTGGTGAGCTATTCCCTGGTTCTAGTATATCTATGGCCATCAAATAATCAATTATTCAACAATTATTCCTCTCTGTAGAACTCGTACATGAAGCCCTTGAAATTTTTACGAAACCAGTCACAACGACAGGCAGGATAGAAATCAAGGTGTAGATTGTGAAGGATGTGACCACTGACACCAATGGATATGTTTTGATACTCCTCATGACAGTGGTTCACTATGTTGATGTATTATCATTTTTTCAAAATTGCAAAATTTCTTGATAATTTCACGGATAAGTGAAATTTGAGTGAAGTGGATTTTGAAAGGATGAATCCACTGTAAAAACCATAGTGCGGCTTATTTAAGCCCAAGATTCAAGACTCATGATCCCCAGCAAAAATGGCCTCAGGTCATTCAAGTTTGGTAAAATTCTGACATTGTGTGTGATAAAGAAAATCAGGTGAATTACTTATTGGTGAATTATGTACCACCGGTTTGCCACCGGTGATATCTCATCTGAACATCTGTTCTACTCTGCTGTTTGTGCGATGTCAATCCCTCTGTCCATGGGAAATGAATGGGAAAGGACGAGGCAAATCAACCTTGGCCACCGCTAGATCATCCTAGATGAGTATGTTTCGTGTAGATCTTGGCTTGACTAGTGACTTCCACTACCTCTAACTAAGCTCTGTAAGTGTTGATCCTAAGGTTTGGGCGAATGGTTTTGGTACTTGATTAGGCTGCGGCTACGGCATTCCTTTCTTTAGTGAGAATATTGTCCTAAACGCTGTAGGTAACAGTGGGATTCGTCGAAATTGGAACGTCGGGAGAGAAATCCCAGACATCGAACATGATCAGTGGGTGAAGCGTCTGGTAAGGACTACAAATAGCGGGTTCTTATCTGATCGTGCGGTGTAGCTCAGTGCTTGAACGATTTGGTTCTAGTTTGGTCCTAGTAGTAGTAGTGGATGGCAGAAAGCCGCTGGAGTCACATGCCAAAGTATACAAATTTGACGCCCACTCATTGTCATCTCGACACGTTCATCCCGGGACCTTTACACGCAAATCGATGGCAAGCTCCAGAAGGCTCCAGAGCTCGAGCTCCAACTCCAATCTGCGATATGACTATACCTAACTGGCTGTCTAGGCAGTTACCTGATCGCATCGAATCGATGAATACTATAGAATGATTACTTTTTATGACCCACAGGTGAGTATTCAAATGTTGAACATAACATTTCTTCAGTTTTCATTTCTTTTGTTCTCTTATCCAGTATTCCCAACCTTCTGCCCCACTTTTCACGCGCTGGATCACGATGCGAGCGTCTTGTTTGCTGTTATGCAACCAGTGGGCTTTGCTGGTTCGGTTTTGACCTCTGTCTTGGTCCATTTCCCGGGCTTTTTGACGTGTTTTACGAACTATGCATTCTCTAGTCAGCCATGGGAAACCACCACCTCGAATACAGCCTTAACCAATGCCCTCTCCATCGCCATTATGCAACCGCAATCAGCAGGCTTAGCTCTGTTTTCGCTCATCACTCCCGTATCTTTGCTCATTGTTCTAACTTCTTGCATCTCTGTTGTCTGATTTTCTCGGAGTTGAATTCTTGTGACGCGTGCTGTGCACCGCTTTACACCCTTATTGTCAGCCCAAAGGGAATCCTCAGCTCGAATACGGCTTCCCTTCACTTCAATTCGCTCAACAAATCCCATTTATTCTCATATAGCACCGTCAGTACCACATCCAGCACACTGACATCCCTTCCATATCCAACCCACTCTCCCTCATCATGCATCATGTACAAGAACTTGGATTGACCATACGAGGGTTTGGCGCATCCAACGATTTGCACATGCAAGTCGTCGAGTGCGTCCTGCGTCATGCGCATGAGTGCCTCTACCTTGACAAGCCTTGCAGTGCAACTCGTCCAGTCCCTGCTTTTTGCCGCCGTTCCTCCTGACGTCGATATTTCTTCTCATCATCAACCAGCATCTGCAGCCGATAGACGATTGCCCGTGTTTTGAGGACGTGGTGGCGATAGGCGTTGTGGTGTACGGGAACGTGTTGTTGTGATATGGGGAAGGGTTTTTTTTTTTTTGCGGGCTTGTCTACGTCTACGCTTGTAGTGATAATGCAGATGCTCGGCACCACGTAGTGTGTCCTTTCCTCCCGCAACTGGGTCGTGCACCTCTCCTCCTCCTCCCTATTCCCTCCCGCTCGCCACCTGCATCGCCCTCCTCAAAGCACCACCCTCATCTTTGTTTGGCGCCTCTGCTGAACGTCAACACTCCTCCCATCTTGCGCGCCATTGCGCATGCGCTCTACACGCTGAAAGCATGGTTAGATTGGGCGTGGGTGTTGAGTAAAGAGGCGGCGTGCCTTGGGCGTGCCGAATTTGCTGTCGCCCACTGTTAGTAGGGGCGGAGTGGGTCGACTTGAGGGTAGGGCGGCGGTGCGGAGGGGAATGTGAAAGATCGGTTTGCAATAGGCGCTGGCGTGTATGGGAGCCTTGTTCAAGCGGGCTTGTCTACGTCTACGCCTGTAGTGCTGGTGCTCGGCGCACCTGGCACGTCCTTCCCTCCGGCAACTGGGTCGTGCACGCCTCCTCCTCCTCCCTCCCGCTCCCCACCTCCAACGCCCTCCTCAAAGCATCTTTGTCTGGCGCCTCTCTGCAACGTTTCTTCTCGGCATGACCCTCCCCTCATCTTTCGCACCGTTGCGTATGCGCTCTGGACGCTGAAAGCATGGTTAGATTGGGCATGGGGCATGGGGATAGAGGAGAGGGGAAAATTGGGTCGTTGGGGATGCCGAATAAGAAGTTTCATTTGCCTGCGATAGAGTATACGGGCGGCGTGCCGAATTTGCTGTCGCCCACTGTTAGTAGGGGCGGAGTGGGTCGACCTGAGGGATGGGCTGGTGGTGCGGAGGGGAATGTGAAAGATCGGTTTTTCGTGGGTGAGGTGTATGGATATCCGGGGAGTGACGGATGAGGAGGAGGAAGGAAGTGTCATGTGTCCGGTTCCGTCCGTTATTGATTTACCGAGTTCGTTCTCCGAGTTCGTTGCAACGTTGAGGATCGGGGGGAGTCTGGGGAGGGAGCGCCTGAAGCATTTCCGCTTGAAGCGTCGGAAGAAACAGATATACAAATCGAAATCGACATCATAGCGGGGGGAGAACCAGAACCAGAGAACGAGAACGAGATGACAAATGGAGTCGCTGGAAAAGGAAAAACTGACAGTTGTGATTCCGGGTGAGGAGAAGCATGAGGGACGCGGGGTCAGGCAGGAGAGACGTGACGATGCAGATGGTAAGTGTCTTTTCTTCCTTTCCTTTTCTTCCTTTCCTTTTTTCCCTTGCCTTTGGGTCATTCGCTTTTGGACCATTCGCTCCGTGGGTTATTTCATTACGTTGTTCATTACGCGCTGTTTTTCCTTCATCTTTCCTCTCATCTCGGTTAAATATACCTAACTAACCAACGTCGGTTTCCCCACATAGTGACAAAAGTAACTGTGTATGTGGGGATTGCTATTCTCTCCATCGAGCTCACCCTGCAGTCGTTTGAGTAGGGCTGTGGTCGATTATGAGGATGGGGGTATGAGGGGTATGAGGTGTGTACGAGAGGTGTGTACGAGTGTACTATACCCGTGTTATATGTGAATTGACAAGTTTTCCTTCAGTGTCGTGCCGTGGATGATGAATCGTTCCCCTTTCTTGTGGTATCCTACGCTGCTGCATGCGTGTAGATCTTGCAGCTGTCTCGTCTACTCTTGTTTTTGTTTTTTCAACGCAATGTCAGTCAACTTGTAGGAAACAACTCAAGTTGTATTAATCGAATGAGTAGGGTTTTTTTTCGTTATTCGTAGTTATCATATGTATTCATGTATGTACTCGATAGGCTTAGATCTTCGGAGTTGACAACGATGACCATAAGTAGCCTGCGATGGGTATCGTGAGTTGGGAGATGGAAGATAGGACACGTAGGGCGTCGGCAATGGGTACGAGTGGCCATATGTGCGTGCAGGTTTGTTACTGGGGTTAGACATTCAGATATGGTAAGTGGATGAAAGGCAATCAGAGTGTGGGATGGTCCAAAAACAACACGGCAAACAGAACCAATAAACTCCCTGGCTGGGAGTCGAACCCAGCTTTCGCGCGCACACAAATCAATTGCCGACATACGATGACAGGCGCGTGTACTAGCCGATATACTACCAGGGACATAACTTATCAGTGAAAAGAAGGCCAGTTGGGAGGATACAAGCAGCTCCATGTCAACTGGGAGTCAAACCTAACTTTTATGCAGTTATTACTCTCAATATCTATATGACAGGTACGTGTACTAGCTAATACTAGGAACCTGTTTAGAGGCTTTAAAGAGATAAGTAATAACGCGATAATATTTGGCTTAGTTATGTCGTCATTACAGTCGGAACTGAAAAACTGTTCCGATCCTAATGTCAAATAGGTGGCGGGCAACAAGTCTATATTGACTGTTTGAGCCTGAGCGTTCGATGATCAGCAAGATTCTGATATCAAGATTCAATTGACCAAATATCGAAGTACGGTTATGCACACAGTGATGACGGATTCCCAACAAGCCATCCAGAGTGAGTCTACAATCACGTTCAAACGCATCAATAAAGCAAAGTCCTTCAATTGTCACATGGACACTCCTGTATCAACTAGAACTCAAAACACGAAACTCGCCAAGCAAGATAAAACATACCTCATTCTTCCTCTTCCTCCGATTCCTCATCCCATGCCCAGAAGCACTTTTCCATCAGGAAATTCGAGACGTAATTGGAGATATTGCTTCCCCCTAGCACCCGCAACACCTGTGTAACAAATCTTCGATCCTCGTTGTATCTCATTTTCGCAGGATCAGGGCCATCTACATGCTTAATTACCTCCTTGAATACAGCAAGGGTCGATGGGCACATGCGAGGATATTGTTTGGTACCCATTTTCATAAATGTTGGGTCGACCAGAACGATTGGCCCAAACTATGAAGGATATAAATATAAATTAGGGAATTCCTACAAGAACCTTACCCGAAAGTACAGATCTTGGAAGCGCTTGCGCTGTTCCATCATTTTGCAGTGCTTCGTGCGTGTGGGCTTGATTAATGCTGTATACCGCTTCTTCTTCTCTTTCTGAGGGATATTGAGACTGTCTAGACAGTTGAAATCCTGAGGTAAAAGCGAGCGAGCAAAAGAGGTTATAAACTCCTGCCGAGAATCATAGGAAAGATTCATCCAGTCGTCATATGCCTTAAAACCCTCGATGTTTCAAATTACTGCCAAAAGATAGGATGCAACGGCATCTTCCGATGGGCCTCTGAAGATGAGAGTTTCCCTTCTTCTCAGTCGAGTAAAAGGGTCTGTGATCTCCGCAATCTCCAGAACATCAGTGGTTATAAAAGAGACTGAAGAGTAGGCGACATTGTATTTTTCAAAGTAGGCTGACTAAAAATACTGTTGGAAATCACACAGAAAAAACCAAAAAGCACGCACAATCTCAAGTCGAGAATAATGCCGATACCCAATCATCATTCGATGATACGCCTCCCTTTCTTCCTCTGCCACTCGGCCAGAATGCCCACCATGTAAGACCATTTTGAGGAAATTGTCGAGGGTGTATCGGGAGGAAACCTCTTCAGTTTTTTCAAAAACACGCTCTAATTCATTTTCGAAGTCCGGTTGCAACGATCCATCCACTTGAATGGTTTTTTCTTCATCCAATTTGACATCCTCTTCATCGGATTGTGGTTCCTGCCCCAGATCATCTGAGCGTTGTTAGCTAAGAAATCAAAGGAAAAAAACAAAACTTACGCCATTCTCGTGCTGTTAAACCCAGATTGGGTGGATCTCCCTCACCGTTTGTAACCAGATAACTTAACCCAACCGCTTTATCAAGAGTCTGCCCGGCCGCCTGTGCCACTGTGGTTAGCATGGTCATGAATGCATTTTTGGTTGTAGGAGAAGCATCTTCGCCAGGAGGATTAAGGCGACTCAGTCTCCAGTAAATATCTTTTGCCACATGGGAGATTGCATCCATTTCAACAAGATGAGAGGACATGGTGGCAAAAGCAAACAAAGACAATAAGTACGTAAACAATTGGAACCTAGAATTAGGTTCTGATTTAATGTTCCTACGAGGTCAAAGCGTACCCCTGCCAGCCATATTTTATAGCTAGTAAGAAATTTAGAGCCTTCACTTGGCTTAAAGATGTCCACGAGTCCGGATCGCCAGCAAGTACTTGCAAGTACGAGCATGAGAATACTTGGGGATCACGGTATCTGTTTCCCACGGATCTGTACAGGTTGCAAGTATGGGCAACATATTTGCTGTGGGATAATGTCATATTATGTCAATCCTAACTATTTTTAGGTTGGATGGTGATGAGGTCATTACCCCTTTTAATATATGTCCCTGATGTTAATCTTTGGTTAATCTGCATATTACTGTTTCAAACCTTGGTACTAAGCTGTGTTGTGATGTGATGCTTTGACACCAAAATACACAACTCCAGATCTGGTATCAGTAATTATTACACTCTGTATTTCCTTACTAATACTTACAGAGTTGGTAGATATTTTGTAGAGTACCCGTACTGTAGTATATAAGGCTTGGTACAAAGGCCAAGTAGTATAGAATTAGTATTCACTTATCCCAAAGTTGTACAAGCCTCACAGCTGTGAGACCCCACTGCACCAATTACCGGAGCTGCATGCTACAGGACAGAATTTCTGAATGCTAAATGTGGTCCACACATTCGAGAAAGAACGCCTTCTGTAAAATGTCAAATAGTTTTTATATTGTTAGGGCAAGATAGTCACCGTATTATGTGGGCTGTAGAGGCCTTGCACTCTGTGCTATCAAGAAATTACATTGAGATTCAAATATCACTATGTTAGTGAGTTTCCTGGTGATTTCAGGGCCTACCAAGACGCTACTCTGGGCAGAAGGAAGAGGCGCAGAACAAGGTACCGAAGATGAACACCTCCCAAATGAAGTATGTACAGATTACAATAGTTGAGCTGAAGACGCGAAGGGCATAACAAGTGAAAGGATCTGGGGGTGCACTAGTAAGAATACATGGAAGCTAAATGGCGCAGCACACAAATGGACTTTGACGTACGTTTTGTGTAGATCTTGGCTTTGACTTCACCTAACTAAGCTCTGTGAGTCTTGACCATAAGATTTGGTGAGGCTTTGGTACTTGATGAGGCTGCGGCAACGGTACTCCATTGATGCTTTCCTAAACGCTGTAGGATTGGGGTCGGACGGTGAAACTAGAGTGTCGGGAGAGGAATTCCAGACATCGAACAGGATCAGCAGGTGAAGTGTCAAGCAAGGACTACAAATGGCGGGTTCTTATACCGTGTAGCTCAGTGGAATTTGCTTGAGAGCCATTTGGTTTGACAGTCACATAGATGGCAGAAAGCTGCTAGAGTCACATGCCGCAGCTGAACAACTTTTGGCGCCCGCTCACTCATCTCGAAACGCTGACCACCGCGGGATCCTTTACATGCAAATCAATGGCAAACTCCAGAGCTCCAACTCCAAGTTCCTCAATAACTACACCTAGCTAGTATGGGCAGCTACTGATTGAACCGAGGAACTGCTGGTTAGAATGAATACTTTATGCAGGTGAACATTTCTCCAGTTTCATTTCTTCCAGTTTCATTTCTCTCCTTAGTTCTCTTGTCCGGTCTTCTCCACATCCTCCTACACTTTGATTTTGACCCTCATATATATATCTTGGTTCTTGCGTCTCATTTTCTTGGATTTACATTCTTTCTGATGCCTTCTTTACATCGCTTCACACTGATACTAGTATCAACAACCCTCATCAGCCTTAGGAAATCATCGCCTCAAATATGGCTTCCCTTCAGCCCACTCAACAACTGCCGTCTCCGTCGCCCCATCCTAAGTTCTATGGCTACGTCTACAACCTATTAGTATTACATCTCTCCCTTGAAACCACATCCATGAACTCATCAGCATGATATCTCCTCGTCATCTACATGCTCTCTATTATCCTTGGCGCACCTATATTGCAATGCATTTGGTTATCAATTGTCCCCCAGGATGTGACCATATGTGGTTTGGGTGCATCCAAAAAATTGCAGGCGTGGGTCCTTGATGGTGTCACAAGCGCCTCTACCACTTCTGGTTCGACTACCTTAGCAATGCGCTTTTCCTCCTTAGCGTCGATATTCCTGTTGGAGAAATGGGGAAGGTGTTTAACGTTTATTTCTCAGAGCCAGAGGCAAACTTATGGAAGTCAATGTCTATGCTTACACCTACGCCCATGTCTATGCTTGGTGCACCCTGGCACAATCTCCCCTCCATCACCTGAACTTTGCCTCCCCAATTCCGCACACCAAACTCACCCTCGGCATCGCCCTCACCTTCATCTGGTGCCTCTGCGCTAAGTTCCGCAATGGCAAAGTAAGTGAACAATTGCAAGAGAGTAAGAAAAAGATAATACAACTAGCTCACATGCCATAGGCTACTACAATGTGATAATTGTTCCATGGTAAGTACAATGACATCAGTAATATCCAACAGCACTCCAGAGCCGAAGGAGGGAATGGGATTCTTTATCCAGCACATTGTTGAAACTAGATTACCGCTTATGAGTCGTATCTAATCAGTAATGTGAGTCGACTAGACGCACTTGCTATACGATCGATGAACTGTCGATATATGCTATGTTGAAACTCACCCTCAGACACTAGACGCAGCCTCTACGCAGGTTCGTATAGATGTAGTCAATTATGCCATTCGCTATTAGTCTTATGATACATAGCTTGTACGCTGCCTTGCAGTACCTATGAACAATACCTATAGAATTACCATACGGACTCCATCTTCTAGGGTACATTATGCACATGTATATGCACTATGTTTAGCAGTACAACTCAAGTAGACTCATACATTGTTATAGGGTTTATTATATTCTGTAGATATTTTCCTGTAACAATAACCAAGAATCCTACTATTCGTCTGGACACTTGTTCTGCTCTCAACAAGCACTCTTACAACTCCTGTAATATCCTTAACACTCTCAGGTGAGTATGCTGTCGACCTTGTGTTGACTGACCGCTGTTTCTACAGGTTATGGGCCCCGGATTGCTTCAACACATGTTGTGCCCTCCATTGTGCCTACTGCACTTGGTTAGACAGTGTTCAATGAACGTCCAACGCTC